ACCAATAGCTCTATGTAACTTTGATATAGGGGCATCATCTTATCCTCATAGATTTTCTTTTTTATTATAACAAAATAAGTGCAAATTCACTTTGTAACTAAATCCTTACATATTTACAGGGTTACACCAACAAAGTCAATCATCATTCCACAACCAAATGTTAAGATCCAATTTCCCATCCATGGCCATTCACCTAAAAGGTAATAGGCCTATGCTCGATCTTAACATTTGGTTAACAGTAGGCTAGGCTTACTAGGCTGATATTTCAAAAAACCGTTTGCTCAGACAATAGGGCCTAGCAGATTATAGTACTAGTAAGAAGAATAAATTTAAATGTCATTGATTGGTGTTTTCAAAGAAATATTGTTCATCAGTGTCTTGACGTGTTATGATTGATTAATAAAGAATGACTATATTATGTAGGCTAATATTAGACTTAGTCTTAGCGAAGCATAATTTATTCATTAGCATGGATTTCTCAGGTCAAAATTTCTGGGACTCTGATATATTAGACATTGTTACTATATTAGCCTAAATTCCACTTTCGGTTAGGCAAACAACACTTGGCTATAGTCTGTTTCTTATTTTGAAGCAATCAACAGCGCCGCCTAACGTCATAATGATGCTGTTAAACATGTTGTAGACTTGTATTAGGCGAAATGTTTTTGGAGATTTGTTTCTGGGATTTTTATTTGCACATTTGTTGGGCTAGATTTATATGTTGAAATTTGTTACTACATAATTGTTAGTAGAAATTTACTGTTATGGAATCGCTATTACAGAAAATGTCATTAAGATATATAGATGACATTTTTAAATAGACAAATGTTGAATTCGTACAACAAAAGTTGGTTTTTCTAGACGTAGGGCAGTCTTAAACTAATAATTTAGATATTGGCGAACAAATGTTAAATTTTGTATACAAATGTTGAATTTTGTATACAAATGTTAAATTTTGTATACAAATGTTGAATTTTGTAAATAAATGTTAAATTTTGTATACAAATGTTGAATTTTGTATACAAATGTTGAATTTTGTATACAAATGTTGAATTTTGTATACAAATGTTAAATTTTGTATACAAATGTTGAATTTTGTAAATAAATGTTAAATTTTGTATACAAATGTTGAATTTTGTATACAAATGTTGAATTTTGTATACAAATGTTGAATTTTGTATACAAATGTTAAATTCTGTATACAAATGTTCAGTTAAGCCTACAAATGAAGAAATAAAAAGTTATAAATTGAAATTAGGCATTAACAATTAGGAAATAGCAATTAGGAAATAAGAACATCGAATTTTGAGCTGATTGGTCTTCCATAGCATACAGTGCACAATATTTCCTTATAAGGTAGATAAGGGCCAGATTTTCTAAAACATGAAGATAATACAGGCAAAGTCTTTCTCACCTCTTTAGTAACATAATTGTAATGTGTTGTTCACTTTTATAAACTGGTCTTTTCTCTCATCTTTGACTTAAACTTTGACTTTAATGTGGGTTAATAGTTGGGACTTATTTATTAGTGTTATTATTTTATTCAGACCAAATAGCCTACATTATACACTTAATACATGATAATAGAGACTACATCATTGATAATGTGAGAATTCCAGTTTGAAATTGACATTAAAGTTGGAAATTCCATTATTAAATCTCTAGTCTCTCACATCCAGAGCAAAAGAACGATACTAGCTATATTGTCACTTATCGAACCAAGATATTCGAGGCTAGATTAGACTCGCACATAAATACGTAAATCACCATTTGAACAAGAAGGAAGTACATATTACGAGTTAATTGCATATTACAACAGACTTGATCTATATTCATCAAGTTTAGTTTGTTTCTGGAAGGAGTGTAATATATAATATCGACCTTGCAATAGGTATAATCAACAAATATTAGCTAAGTTTAGTTTTTTGTTCCTCTATTCCGTGCAATATAGGGCTAAACCCTACGGATTATGTGTAGAGCTAGGCCGCCCAACTGTAGAAACGTAGTGGTCTACATTGTAAGCTATATGTGTTTAGAGGATTTTTTCGATAGGGGACAAACGACAATTTATTGAGTCGTAATGAGGTTGTATTATGAGTTTGTGTATGAGGTTTATCTGTGAATGAGTCAATCGCCAATTTGACTCACTTCGAACAATATTGTAGACCAAATTATCAAGACTATTAACTCACATTATGATTTACAGAATGTGGATAATCGAGACTAGATTGGAAACCACCTTACTATAAAAAGATACATTAATTGGGGTACCTGATAGTTGTGTTATTCTTAATTTCACTATTAAGTATAATTAATAAAGGATATAGATGATAACGAAAATAGTTATATTGAATATATCAGTTGATTTGTAGCTTCTTCTTTAATATTTTCAGGTTTTCTTTGATTGTAAGAAGTAAGAATGGCTCGGTGTTATCATGATGAACAAGAGTTTAAATCTGATGTTGATATTGAGGTGGCGAGAGAAGGTGATATATTACAGGAAGGACACGATTTAAATAAGTTTAAATGTCACAAGAATCCTGGCCATTCAGGGTTTATCCCATTTAAAGATTTAACACTGGAAGATTTACCAGAAGAAATAAGAAATTTAGAAACGTTAGAGAGTATTAAAAAATGGGGTGGCTATGTTGTCAGATTAGTGGTAAAAAAAATAAAGAATCGAAGATGGGTAACGGAATGTGGGTCTGGGTTCTTGTTTAAGTATGGTAGTAGATTTTGTGTGAAAACTAACAACCATGTCGTCAAAACTGATGATGAAGTTAAAAATTGTAGCATCAAATTTTTCTATGATTCTCATGATGAGTCGAATGTAAAGACTGGTGAAGGAGTAAAACTTGAATACACATGCCCTTTTAGAGATCTCTCAATCTTTTCTTTCCATCCTGTACCTGATTTTTATCAACCGGACCTAAAAGATCCGTTGCTTTCTAATCCAACTGTTGTGATAATGTATAACAATAATCGCACTATACCTAGTCTTGCGAGACGTTTATGGACAACCCAAATTTTGTATTATACCTCTGTAAACTTGAACAATCCACAGATCGACTTGATGTTCATTTCCTTGGTTGACAATTCTTACAGTTATCTAAAAAGCTCTTATTTCAAATTTCAACCGATTCCTTCCAATATACAAAAGTTAACTCGTATTGAAATTCATATAGATGAGGATGATGGTAATAGTAGAGTGATACCAGGTGATGTTGTAAAATTTAGTGATGATTATGTTGTTAAAATCTCAGAATCTCTTTTCCAAGATGAAGTAAAGAAATGTAGATTAGTGTGGAATGGTGAAGTTATTGCTCAAGGTACGCGATTGTATTTTAAAAAAATCACATCAAGAGAGCTTCTGGGTGAAATGACCGAGAAAGAGATTGATGTAGAACTATTCATGCAACATTCTGCTCCAAATAGCTGGTTATTTGATTTTCATCCCCAACCGAGAGGTATAGAGCAGCTTCATGAAATTGTTAAAAACTCTACACCTGCTAGTAATATAGTGTGTTGTATTAGTCATCCTCATGGTGGGATCAAAATGGTCACGTTTGGACGATTGTTACGTCAAATACCAGAACGGTTTGATATTCATGGGCGACGGATAGCTGAACCAGGTACGGACTGTCAATGTAAGGAAATTAGCTGTGTAAAATATTCGTGTAAAACTTGTCCTGGCTCTAGTGGATGTCCGGTATTAATACCAAATAAGTCGTTCTACCTGATTACTAGTAGTATTCATTTTTTGGGTGAAAGAAAGAAAGATTGGTTACCAGATGGTGAACTGATAGAAAATATTAACACAGGTTGGTCTTGAATGTAACCACATGTTATTTATTAAGTCCAATTTCTATTGATAAAACATGCTGAATTACAATTGTAAACATCTTTCTGAATTTTAACAGACCAATTTTAATGTACAATGGTATTTTTCATTTATTTCACATTGATTATTTTGATATAAATCACAATGTGTTGAGCTTATTGGGTAGTTTATTAAATTTAATGATGTAAAATATAAAGGGTTGTGTTTCTTCTTTGAGCCTTTTCTGTTTCTCAATTTTTTTTACGCTTTAAATTTTGAACTGTGAGCAGAACTGAGAATGATCGATCTTTGGATTTTTTAGCTTTTTCAACTTTTTACTAGGTTACTAGGTTTCATGTATGTTGTGTGTCGTTGCGTTCATGGCACAAATAAAGAATTGTGGAGAATATGTGTCTGAGTTGGCCTTTTCAGTCGCATGTATTAAGAGAGTAATAACACTACAGTTACAATGCTTGTTTCAATCCGATTGCGGTATCCAACTTAAACCTCGTAACATCTTGTTGTCAGTTCCCAAGACAAAGACATCTTCTTGTTACTTATCTATATGTATCCAAACTTACCTACATTCTTACACAATCGACGGACACATTACATAACCGTGATTTGGGAAAAAAACTTGATAAGCTCCCAGCACTAACTGCAAACTTAATGAAAACCAGGACATTTGGCAGCTTCTTCTTCAAACAATTTGGAATGTCGTTTTGGAATTTGGCACGTAGATCACTCATAATCCATAAATTGA